AAAAAAAAAAAAAAAAAAGAAAAAAATCTGATGTCTATCAAACTTAAGTGAATATACGGTTCTTTATTTTAATTTTTTTTCAACCGTCCACGGTTGCGGAATAAAAAATAAAAATAGGCTGTTTAATATTACTCTGACAATTAAAACAGAACATTAAAATTCATCTATAAAAGTGTTTTTAGTGGAGCTAACATATAGTGCGATAAGGACGAAACAGTTTTTATACCATCTGACTTTTAGACTACATAAAAACCAGATAAATAAACCCTTCAAAAAAAACGCAAGAAAAAGCACACAAATTTTACATACACTATTTCGTTCGCTATAAAATAACAAAGTGGTAAAATTTTAAATTATGCACTGCTTTCAAATTCATTACTATATAATTGAAACGAAGCGATTGACACTGCATAGATGGAGGAAATATTTCTTCAAAAAGAGCATCCACACGTCTATCTAGTTATTTTCGACTAACATTTGTGACTCGCAAAGCTTCTTGTAAATGCCTCGTTGCTCGAGTAGTTGGTAGTGATTGCCTAAATAGCAATTTTTATTTGATCTCAACAATTTGAAAAGAGAATCATTTTTATACGGATGAAATAGAATTAAGGCTGAGCCAACAAAAATAAAGCTGAGCCAACTAACCTTTTTCAGTAATTCTTCCTTCATGAACAACCAAGATAACGTCAGCGTTTTGAATTGTTGAAAGTCTGTGCGCAATAACAATACATGTACGACCTTTCTGAGCAACTTCCAAAGCAGCTTGTACAACCTTAAGCACCAGTCAGTTTTTTAAAACTGGTCTTTCTAATAAACCGTGTAGCAGGTAAAACTTCATTGGAGGCGTTAATTAATCAGAGGCTATATAAGTTCAATAAACAAGATAAAAAACTTTATGCCCGTATCATTTTAAAAAAGATCAACACAGAAAAAGCCTGTTAAGGTTACTTTTTCAGATTCGGTATCTAAAGCAGATGTAGCTTCGTCAAGTAATAATACAGATGGGTCTCTAATCAAAGCTCTTGCAATAGCAATGCGTTGTTTTTGACCACCTGACAACTGCGTTCCCTTCTCGCCAACATTCGTTCCATAACCCTGATAGTTATACAGTTTTTTCCGTGCTTTAAATAGATCAAATTCAAATAACACAACAGTTACACCTTTAATGTATTACCATAGGAAGCCCCATAATGAAGTCGTGAATATTGGCGAGTTTAGCAGCTTTTACCACTTCGTCATGAGTTGCTTTCGCTGGAAGACCATAACAAATGTTCTCCTCAATTGTACTGTCAAACAGCGTTGGCTCTTGGCTAACTATTGCCATTTGACTTCGGAGAGACTGAATATTTATGTTCTCGATCTCCTCACCATCCACAAGCTGGAATGCAGAAAATAATAATTTAAAAAAGTTCCGCAACATAGCAAATGAGAAGACAAAACTGTTTGCCGAAATCAATGAAAATGATAGCAAGAGAAGAAGTGAAGTAGTAGGTAGAATAAGTTACCTAATAATAAAACAGTGCAGAAAGAATCAGTCTTGAATAAATTGAAACACTTACGATTGTACCACGTTCAGGCTTGTAGAAGCGTTCCAGCAAACTTATAACAGTACTTTTCCCGCACCCTGAATGCCCGACAAGAGCCACAGTCTGGCCTTCTTTGACGTTCAAGTTCAAGCCACGCAAAATTCGTACATTTTTTCTAGTCGGGTAACGAAAATGAACATTCTTGAATTGTATATTGCCTTTGATTTTCTTAAAAGGTAAAAATTGAATTTAGTAACCAGTTTGAATGAAAAAAACACTCATAAAAAGGTAACAAAATTTTTAAATAGAGTTTCCATACAGTAATCATAAATCTACCATTTGCTTCCCGTCTTTTGACAAGGAGTCAATAGCAGTCGGATATTCAGCAAGATAAAATACTAAAGCTGCAGCAAGACGTGCTTTTACGATATCAGGAATAAATGCACTCATCTGACCTACGGACTGACCACAAAAAGCAATAGCAAAGAATACTCTAGAAGATCATGTTTTTATTTATTAAAAAAGCAATCAAATAGTGCATTCTTTAAACAAAAAAGTAAAATTGTAACACTTCAAAAAATCTTCAGACCTCAACTAAAGTTTCTAAAGTATAAAGCCAAGCAAAAAAAGAAGTCGTTGATGTCTACATGTCAGAATCTTTATCAGAAGAAAAACTACCTGTAAACGTTGATTGGTCTCATAAAACCATGTTCAACAAAAACTGCACCGAGATAGAATGATAACGAATACATAAAGAATACAAGTGATTGAGAAAAGGCGAATACTCCAGCATAAACATGCACTTGACGCAAATTAAACCTAGAAAAGATTGTTGTTTTAAAAAAAAAAGAAAATAAGAAAGGATAAAAATTAATTATTCAAATTTATTTTTATTAAGACGCCTAGAACGTCAGATATTTTGTATTTAAAGACGAAGGAGTAGGTAATTTCCTGTCAAAATCCAAAAAAGATAAGGTTGTGATGCTGTCAAACAAAAAAAATTACCTGAATGGTATTTCTAGGTTATTGCGGTAATCATCAATGAAAACCTTCTGTTTATTTAGAGCTTGAACTGTGCGAATGTGCTCGACAGCTTCTGTAGCAGTTTTACCAGCGTTTTCAAGAAGTTTTGTATCACGCAATTTTTTTCCGAACTAACATATAAGAAATTTTTTTACTTGATCATAGATCAATGACAGAACCCATAAAGTTTATGAATTCTAAGTCAAATTTACAGCTTTTGCTTGCCTTCTTCTGTGTCAACATTTAACGAAACCGCATTTATAAATGCTTCAAAAGGTTTATTAAAATTTCTGTTAAAACATCTAAGTATTAGATTTACCTGCATTTTCATTTGAAAATAGCCACTTCCGAGCAACAGCGGAACTATTGCTAGCAAAATGAAAGCCAACTGCCATCCAAAAATGAATCCAATAATTAACGCACCCACAAGCGTAACTACAGCCGAGATAACGGCTGGCAGTCGAGTGAATACCTGAAGTATTAAGTTCAGCAAGGTAGAATGACAGCGAAATCTATAATAATTCAGGTGTAAATTAGCAGAGAAATATTTTGAACAAACAGTTAATGTAAAGTAATAGATGAAACTCTCTTACATAGCGAACATTTGGAGCATCTGTAGCAAACCGCGTACATAACTTTCCAGTTGCATGTTTTGTATCATCATAGAACGCAATATCCTGCCGCATCAAATTAATGAATGCCATCGACCTAAGCGCCTTAGTCATAGTTTCACCACATAAGCCTAACATATTTGCCTAAACAAATCGAAATAAATGAAAAAAACTGCAAAATAAACTCCCAGAAAAAAATTTTTAAACCCATCGTTAATAACAAAAGTCTCACCGAAATAAAGAAACCGAGACCGCAAACAACACCGCAAACGAGAAACATCATAGACCAAAATAAGGCTTTCGGCCCAATTTTGTCTGGCGGTAAGCTGTATACCTTAAAATTGTTCCCGTGATAAAAAAAACAAATATTTCCTTTTGCGGACAGAGAACTACTGTTATACTGTTAGAAGAAAAACTTTAAAAATTATTTAAATATACTGTTAGAAGAAAGATAACGTAGTAAGACTGACATCAAATATCTGCGAATATACGAGCGAAAAGAACGGTGGAACGATACCACTCATAATTGATCCAATAAAACCAAGGATCCAAAACAGCCAGCAGTCTTTGTTAACTTTAAATATTTTTCCCAATGAAGCTGGGTGTATATGGACTTCCTAAAAAAAATTACACTGAAAAATTAAAAAAAAAAAACAGTAACCTTTTTGTTCTCTAGAAGGCAACAGAAGCAAGTAGCTGTTTGCAATGTATACCATATATTATTAATAAAACAAAGCAATTATCTGTTAAATAAAAGTTTATTTAGAAACCTTTGCAGCTTCTCTAAGCTCATGAACTTGCATCGATTGTGAGATCATTGAAGAAGCTCGCGACGATGTCCGTGAAAAACGCGAATTTCGGGAATGATAACTGCTCAATGTAGACAATTTTCTATTTGTAATATTTTCGGTAACCATTGATTTTTCGTCATCTAACGTATCATCCTCGGTTTCAGCTTCTGTAGAAAAAGCGGTCTGACAGTCTACTCCAGAGTTAACAAAGACTGACAACAACTATACCTTTGAATATTTTTTGAATACTTTTTTAAAATAAGGATTAGGTATCAAAAGAAGTAATTTACTTGTTTTAAACAATCAGGGGATATAGTGTGACAAACCGTTAGCTGTGTGAATACTCTGTGCTAAGACCATCGAATAAAAAATGCCTTTAAGGGCAAATAACTCTTCATGCGTTCCTCGTTCAACAATTTTTCCCTTTTGAAAAACTAAAATTTCATCGCAGTCTCTAACAGTAGACAGCCTATGAGCGACAGAAATTGTTGTACGACCTTTCTGAGCCTAAAAAGGCATCAGTCCAGCAAAAAGTTTATAGAGTCACTCTAAAAACCGTTCTTAGTTATCAAAAGTTATTTTTGCCTGTTCTAACGCCTTCTGTACAACAGATTCTGATTCCGTATCTAGAGCAGAAGTAGCTTCATCGAGAAGCAAGATTGATGGATTTTTAATTAAAGCTCTGGCAATAGCTATACGCTGTTTTTGACCGCCAGACAATTGAACACCACGTTCACCGACGTGTGTCTCCAAACCATTGGGAAGTAATTCAATAAAATGCCAAGCATTTGCCTGTAAACAGAAAGGAAAGTATCAGAAATAATGCAAATGATGTTGCTGGAAAGTTGCAATTTTTGATTGAGAACAGACCATTTTACATGAGTTAATTATTTCTTCTTTAGTAGCATCTTTTTTCCCAAGTCTTATGTTACTTTCAATAGTACCATCAAAAAGGATTGGTTCCTGCGATACAACTCCAATTGAATCCCGCAATTCTTTTACGTTGAGTGAACGCAAATCGTATCCATCCAATGTTATCTAAGAAAAAAATTATAAAAAAAATCTTTTATTTTGAACTGGCATTAGTAGTAAAGAAGTGATATTGACTAGAACGAATAAATATAAGATTGAAACTATAGATTGAAACTAACTGTGCCACCATCGGGATCGTAAAATCGAAGCAGAAGGTTAATAGATGTTGATTTGCCGCATCCACTAGGCCCGACTAAAGCGACTTTTTTGCCTGCTTCTATATCAAAAGATACATCATCCAATACCTGAAATTAAGCTAAGTTCAATTCACAATATACCAAATATTTTCGCGTGAGCTTTGATAATATCTGTAAAAAAAGTAATGATAGAAAAATCGTCAGTTGTAATTAAAAATTAGTTGGTCACTAGGCGACTAAACAAATACAAACTTGCACATTCTTTCTAATTGGATAAGAGAAAGAAATGTTTTTAAAGCTAATCGCTCCTTTCACTCTGACAGGGAATGTTCCTTCTGATGAATAAGGATCGATGTGAGGAACCTTAAAAACGTTCACAATCATAAGGAAGACAAGTATGACCTTTTAGCTACTGAAAAACATCTAGTAAACAGTGTCACCTTATTTCTTTCAGTAGCAATACTTTATTTTCAAAGTTGAATGAATAGTAGTAAAGAAAACTAACGCAGTTGACAACTGACAAAACTTTTCGTGCCGCACCTCTACACATACCAAATGTTGCAAGATGTGGCAAAGCAGCACCCAAAGCGGTCGACCCTGACATTACAGAAAAGAATACCTAAATAAAGTTTATAACAAAAAAAAAGATCAGAATAACTAATAAAAAGTTAAATTTAAGAAAAACGTTTCTTACAGTAAAGACGGAACCACGTTCAATAGATGGATCATCGACAATTAATTTGGAACCAAACCTGAAGTAAAATTTCTACATGTTATTCTAATTTACCGCCATCATTTCATTCAACAGTCGGTAAAAGAAAACCGATAGTGACAGAAACGAACCAAAATGCAACTGCATAAGACGCATAAGTTACAAGAAACATTGCTCCGACACCTATTCCCATGTATAAATACTTTAATCGACCTGTCTTCATAGATTGTTGAAGCGCTTTTTCATATCTGCAAAATTCATTCAAATTGCCGTAAGATTGAATTACTACTGAATATTGAATTTAAACTCATTTTAAAATATATCTTTTGCTTTCGTTTACAACAAATTTTCAAAACAAAAAAGTTGTGAGAAGGTAAGAAAAAAAAATATTGAACTGAAAAAAAAAAACACCTTGAAATTTCTTGATTAGTTCCATTCAGCGACAGTACCGTACGTATTGAACTAAACGTTTCCTCTGCCATTGCACCAGCTATCGCGTATTTTTCCTGCTCTATTTGGGTTCGTGTTGCTGTTATACGGCCCAAGAAAGCACCAAGCCCAGCCAGAAGTGGCGTAAAAGCCAACATCACCTAAAATCTTGACTTACTGTTGTTTCTTCTGAGAATAAAATTTGGTTACCAAAAGAGAGACCTCGTTAAGCTAAAATAATTATAAATTAATACAAAAAAAAAGTCTAAAATGCTGCTTCATGATGTTGACAATAACACAGAAACTTGACTAAAATAATATAATCCACTCACCAATGTCATCTTCCAGTTGTATGTAAAAGCAACGACAAATCCAACTATAAATGTTGCAACTAATTGTATCAACAGTGACATCTTATCACCAATTCCTTCACGTACTCGCTCTAAGTCACTAAAAATTTATTCGTTCATTATTTGGAAAAAATAGTTTGCTGTTAAAAGTACTTAATTCTTTATTTATTTTTTAATGTTTTGCATATCTTCAATAAGTGAAACTGAAGTCTATTTGACAGGAGATAAATTGTTTAGAACTTACATCATTTTTTAAACCAATTAATTATGTCTTTTTTTTTTAAACCAAGTAATTATGTCTTTTTTTTAATCAAAAAAATAGAGAAATTTTTTTTCATTTTTATAGTCTGAAAAGTAAAAATTTACTTTATGACAGTTGTTCTCAAACTTCTATATCTGTTGTTGCTAAAAAAACAATCACTACTGTTAACTACGCAATATATGGTTGCTCAACATACTCGGTAAGTCTTGCAGTTAAATTTCCAGTTTGTTCGACATCGAACCAGGCAATTTCTTGTCGTAGAATTGCCTTTAAATAGTTTTGCCGCAGTTTGTGCGTCGTTCGCTCGGCAAAACTTTCAAAACACCAAATCTGCAATTAGCAACATAAAAACTGTGAACTCAACAGTTAGATCGATACGAAGTATTTAGCGATATAGTTAATATTTCTGTTGGCTACAGTAAAACGAGCTGACGCTAATTGACGCTTTCAAAGAAATTGTTCTTTGTGGAGGCAGTTTTTTAACCAGATAAAGAGAGCAGAATAACTTTCATATAGCAAA